CATGGGTTTATGCTATTCCTAGAGTATAAGCTTGCATAAGGATGACAAGACAATTTCTAACAAGTTCCACTTTTTAACATCACCAACACTCAAGTACTGATGATAACTCAAATACAATGCCTAAGGCAGGTAGGCAAAGATCAAGCTAAATAGCTTCCAAACCGTCTTCCTCTTCCCAACGCTGTTCTGCAAATCTTTAATCTTCTGATCTCATTTACTCCAGGATGACAGTAGTATAATTCCATTGACTTTGACAACAATATTCCTGCTTTACATCAGTGAAGAGGGAAAAGCATAGGGCCTCATTAATCACTGCTGAATTGTCTGGTATGTGCGACTGCTGAAAATAGCTATGCTTCTTTCTCTCGGGTTAATTTACAGGGGTTCCACAGGTGACACTACAATCTTTATTAACAAACATATTTCTCTCTAAAGGAATCATCCACTCAAAATACTGACTGAATCTCCTCTTTATTGCATAAAATATTTATGAAGAGCAATTAAAAGGGTTAGCAGTAAGGCTATCAAAACTATACCCACTACGTTGTCAGAGGTTCCTCCTTAGCATCACAGCAGTGTCCATCTTTGTCTCTACAGAGACCTTTTTTTGAGTCCTATTTGGTTTTACTTAATTCTGTTGCACTGCAAACTGCACTGCAAAGACAGGAGGTGAAATCAGCTGGATGGATACATCATTCCAAATCACCTATAGCTGGAAAAAAATGTTCATCTCCTCTGGAGATACCAGGTTAGAGAAGTTCTCCCCAGAGATACTCTTTGGCTCAACATCTGAAAAGGCCCATGGCCTGGCCTGCATTTTCCTACATTATTTCCACGTCTGTTAGTATATTACTGATGCAGTCCATGCCGCTCTTATCTTTACTGATCTCAAGACTAATTCTTGATAGAAGGCCAAGTTTTATTTCTAATGGCGACCCATGGCCTACAGCATAAACGTAGATGCAAATATCTCAGCCTACACCGAAACTCTCCGAAACATCAGCAGAAAGATCAAAGGCAGAATAAGCCCTTGTATTACAACTACATTTTTCAGTTATCATTTATTAACTATCACATTGTCTCGTTCAGTCTTGCTGAGTTTGAAAACATGCTTCTCTTTAAAGTTATCACTATTTCTCTTTCTTCTTCCTCTGTGTTATTCTCTTGTCTGTGCGGCTTTTCGTTCCCTGATTTTAAAACTTTTTTTTGCACCTTTGTAGATCCTTTCCTTATCATTTCCAGCAGCTCCCATATGAAGACTTTACTACATCCTATTTGCTAAAATATAATCAGTGATGCAATTAATGCTAACACTTTACATGCCATCAGAGCACTCTGGAAGCATCCTACCTAATGAGGCTGGATGGCTTATCCAGGAAAGTTTCTTTCAGGCAGTTCTTTCAGGCTTAGCAAGGAAGAAAATTTTCTATTACTTTACTGCCCTTTGGAAAGTTCAGAACTAGAGAGGTAGAAACTCCTGTTTCTTCATGCACACTTAAATTCTGAAAGCACATGAAAACTACCTAAGTACATTAAGACAGCTCTGTCTGGCCTTGTGAACCAAACCATACCATTTTGAAGGCACATACCACCTCGGCATACAAGCTACAGTATGCTATACTGTACTTCTAGACTTCTTGCTCTCAGTAAGACGACACTGATTAGAGCGTACACTGCAAGGCTAGGAGAGCACTACAGGTGTACAACTTCAGGACTACATAGTATATCTACCGCAAAAAACTAAAAACTTTTCAGAGTTTTGCCTATGAATCATGGTTCAAGCCTGAAAGTCATGTTACATCTGTAACCTCTGTACTTGATGTAACAGGAGTTAAAATCCTGCAAGAAAGGAGTGAAATGATACATCTTAATTCCTGGAGAGTCCATACAGAAAAATAATCCCTCGCACCTCAGGGGAATGCAAGCAGTGGAAGAAGACTCAATGAACTTACAGCGAATGTTTCCTTTACCTTTGCTCTATTTCCCAAAGATTACAATCCTACAAATGGACATTTTGCAGAAGAAGGAGCACAATTGAAATGAGTTCAGCTCATGCATAACTTTTTGTAGGAGGTCCTTAAGGTCTACAGAGAGTAACCTTGGCATCCATACAAACTCCTGAGTTGAATTACTTTCATTTCAAAAATTTGAACTCAAAATGTCACAAGAGGTAAAGAGAATGATGGGCACCAATAAATGTTTATTTTTCTACTCAGATATTTACTACAGATTCTTTTCCCTAGACTGGTCGGATGGGGTGCCAAATCAATGGCAACTGACAGTCCACTAGTATTGTTACTTTCACTCCACAATTAAGGTTCTTAATAAAGAACTATTAACCTTAATTAAGGTACTTAATAAAGCTAGGGCTCTAAATAAAGTGATAGCATTTGTCCCTACCATATTGCTTCTGTTGTAAATACTGCAACCTTTCCTGGTGTTCTGTGACTGTAAAATCACTGAATGTGAGAGCTACTCAGACTTCTCTAGTTACTTTCTCCTCTTCACTGAATCTGTATTTTCCAGTGTGACCCTAGCTTATCACTAAAGTTTGCCCACACTGAGGTATTTTCCCTAAGTCATACATACTGTGTTTTAACAGCCTGAGGAATCTGAAATTCAGTAAATTCACCTCTGACGTGTGAATACCCTTTTTATAGGAACATAACCCATCAACTTTTGTGCACTTATACATGCACATAATTGCTGATGTTCAATAAAGACACATGAAAACCTGAAGTAAGTAAGAGCTATAGTATGAAATCTGCACGAAGTCTTAAGAAACAATCAGACTGAATCCAAAGTTGCACGGTACTATTACAGACGACTGTAATCTAGGCCTATTGATCATCTAAAGGCCCGGATCTATGTTATCCTTTGTATCGCTTCTTAGGAGCGCAGTACACTGGTCCACATCCACATGGAGTGAGGAGTCCCAGTACTCTACTGGACTGGACATGTAGTTCAATACGAAGTCCTACAGGCATCTTGGCAATGGGTGCGTCTACAGGTTTCCAAAGCAGCAACCGTAAAAACTGACTAATAAATGGGCGTTAACCCATTTTTTTCAACGCAAAACCAGTTTGGTCACATATTAAATGCAATTACTGTATTATTCTCCATGAAGTTCTGTTCAGAAGCTTGTTTATTACAGGAAACATTCGCTGTAAGTTCATTTCTGCTGATCAGCAGGCACAGCAACGCTTGAGCAATATGGTGCTTACTTCTTGTTCTACACTGGTTTGCTTTTTTTTAACTCTGTGAGTAAACAGCTACCATTTAAGGCTGGTAAAATACCTTCTGGAACCGTTTCTAGGGTTCTAAAAGTTATGACTGCAGTTATATTCATTTATTGTTCCTTGAACTTAAAAAGCGTCATCCTTTAAACCTTGCACTGGTCCTTAAGGACGCATTCCACCGTAGCATTCACTAAGGACAGTAAAACCCCAGCTCCTTCACAGAGTTTACTCTCCCAAGTGCAAGACATCCGGGGAGCAACGGGCCCTGCACCGGCACGACACCCGCAGCCGCGGCCCTGGGAAGGCGGGGAGCCAAAGGCCTGTCTGCGGTGGATATACACCCGCTGCGAAATCCCAGCCATCAGGGTTGGGCACACTTTTTCCTTCCTCCTTTGGAAAATCCTT